ACAAATGAGCCCAAACTCTGAAATGCAGATGAGAAATCGTTGAATTGGACGTGTAATTTTTTAGTTGTTCCTTCAGTTCGTCGTGTAACAATTAACTTTACACAACTTTGGTTTCGGTTGGGGGGATTATTTTTGGATTAAGGTTAGCCAAGTTAAAGTCTTTCATCAGCTTAATGCTCTATTGGTTTCAAAAAGCTAATTGGACAAGTTTCCAGCCAAACTGCCATCCTCTCGAACACGCTACCTCACTTTTTAAACTTTTGCCTTGCTTCTTTCACAATAGTTTGGGAGATTCAGCTCTGCTTGGGGGGCGCAGCACATCCACATCTCTCACAAATGTCTTTTCCTCAATTACACAGGTAGAATAATAATAATTAATTATATTTGTATTTTCCAAAACTCAGAGATGCTTTACAGGGTAAAAGAACAATAAAAGCAACTAATACAAAAGCAGACTACGCAGTGATACAAGCAAGCAGATAAAAACAACACAAGATATCAAGATAAAGGTTTAAAAGCAGAGCGAAACAGGTGAGTTTTTAGTTTGGATTTGAAAATTACTGGGTCTGTGGTGTCATGGATGTGTTGTGGGAGAGAGTTTAAGAAGGCGGGGGTGGCGACAGAGAAGGCCCTATCCCCCCAGGTTTGATGCTTGGTCCTGGGAACGATTAGGAGTTTGAAGGGGTGTCGGGGTGGAGCATGTCTTTGAGGTAAGAGGGGGCCTGGTTATGGAGCGCTTTATGGATGAGTAGGAGGATTTTGAATTTAATGCAGTATGGGATTCCAGTGAAGGTTTTGAAGGACAAGGGGTGATGTGGAACAGGTGTGGGTGAGGAGGCGGACGGCAGAGTTTTACTGTAGTCTATTGCATGTGCATAAGTGGCCTCTATGGTGGCTGGAATTATGGATATAAATAGGAGAAACTATACAGCGATTAAACAAAGCGTGTGCTCAAAAGTTGCATGTATCGATTTGACTGGAGATCACAAGCAGTCATGGAGGCTGTCAAGCTCTCACTGAGTGAAATAAAGCTACAGAGGCGTAGCAAAGCAACTCCTTAAGCTCTACCGTCAGTTGAGCGTGTCCTCACAGTGATGTGATCTCATAAAATCTGACCTTAAGAATTACACCTTAGAAAATCAGATGGCATTTGTGGCCATGTCCTGAGGGAACCCGTCTGCTGTGTATGTGCACTTTAAGACGTGTTTGCACGGTTATGCTGTTTTGCTTTGGGGGCTACATTTGAAAATGAATGAGTGCCAGCAGGGATCACTGCACCCTGCTCTGAGAGGAAACGAATAAACTGATGTTAACGATGGCTTTTCCCTTACAGTCAGCAGGGTTACCTATTTATATTCTCACTTTGCTATTTGCGTGTATATTGCTTTCAGTGGCAGCTATGTGTTTGAATGGCAATAAATTACGTGGGAGAGACCGAAATCCTCTCGTCATACGTGTTACAGCTAATTTTTTATGAACTAAAAGTGGAAAACTGGTTAAGAAACTGCTGATATGATCAAAGACTGAATTAGGCACCGTAATAAAAATGATCTTTTAGAAGTGTGAAGAGCAGTTTTATCGCTCTGATAAGCTTTTATTGAGGTGAATCTATTTTAATGAAAGAGAAATTTCAGGCGCTGATGGTATGAAAAGGAAATTGCTCAAAAACTGTGCGAGGCTGCTGTGTGGCATTGTTTCACTTATTTTTCTGTTATTCTGAACTGAGCAGAAAGTCCTCAATCGGTGGGAAGAATCTGTTACAGTTCAGTGCCTGAAGCCTCTTGACCAAGACCCTTCACAGATTATCACCCCGTAACTCTAACTTCTCTTGTGAGCTTATGCAGTACAACAGGATGGATTAGAACCATAGAGTGGATGCGACACCACCCATTGGTTTGTAAACTACTATTTTGTGGCTGGACTGCAAGGTGGAGCAGTGGTTAGCACTGTTGCCTCGCAGCAAGAAGGTCGTCGGTTCGTGTCCCGGTGAGGACACCCGGGATCTTTCTGTGTGGAGTTTGCATTTGTCCATGCAGCGTGGGTTCTCTCCAGGTTCTCCGACTTCCTCCTACAGTCCAAAAACATGTTGAGGTTAATTGGTGATTCTAAATTGACCGTAGATGTGAATGTGAGTGTGCTTGGTTGTCTGTCTCTAAGTGTAGCCCTGTGATAGACTGGTGACCTGTCCAGGTGTCTCCTGCCTTCACCCTGAGTCAGCTGGGATAGACTAGAGCCCCTCGTGACCCTAGTGAGGATTAAGATTTAGAGATAATGGATGGATGTTTTGTGGCTTGGCTTTGGCCGTCGCCATCTTGGTCCTTTGAAAACCAAACTTATCAAGCGAGGGATGAATCCTACTGAAAACTTGGCAACACTATACATGCCCAACGCCCTAAAGCACCCCTCAGCATACCCTGCTTTAGTATCTCTTTTCCTTTAAATGAACAAAATGAACAAATACTGTATTGAACGACACTTGAAACTAGCAATTGAGACCATAAACTCACTAGAGAAACGTTTACTGGGTAACTAAGGGAAATTCTGGGTCATTTTCTAGTAGACTTCTATACAATTGGATTTCTTTTTGCATGTCTGTGAAGATTCTCAGTCATCCAGGTCGTGGTTATTCTGGGAGATTAATCGTAGCAACTGGACTTGCTTGAGCTCCTTGAAGACATTTCACCTCCCATCCCAGAGGCTTCATCGTTAGTGCTCCCCCTGACACAATGGGCTTTGTTAGGGTCTTTTGTGGCATTCACACCTAGCCACAAAAGACCCTAACGAACCCCATAGTGTCAGGGGGAGCACTAACGACCCACAAACGAGGGGGAGGAGCAACTAACCCCTAGTTGAAACCGAAACCCAGGTGTTAATGGCTCCTAAGTATCTGGAACCCCCAACTAGTCAGTCAGAACTGATGAAGCCTCTTGGATGAGAGGTGAAACGTCTTCAAGTCCAGTTGCTATGATTAATCTACCAGAATTTCTTTTTGCAACAACCAGAGGCACCCCCTACTGGCCGTTAGAAGTAATGCAGGTTGAAGACAATTTTGCATTGGCTTCACTTTTTTAGATCCAGAGATTATGTCCATCTTTTCTATACAATCTAACGTTGGTGTTACTCCAATTTGCCCACCAGACTGGAAATAATGTGGAAGATACCACAGCGATCTTTTTTAAATGTGCTTAAAAGGCAACAGTAATCATGCCCATCTGCTCTTTATTCAGTTCTCCTCTGCCTTCATCTGTTTATTTTAGATTTTTACTCCGTTTGCTGGATGGCAGATTGATTTTTATTTAACTAACAGGCCACACAAAGCTTCTCTGCCACTCTGTGTCCCCCACAGGTTGTGTTTCGTCCACTCTCATGTTTGTTTTTGACACAAATGAGAGTGTGCTGAGAGCTCTAGGTATGCACTGAAATGTAGTCATTAGTAGGCAACACAATGACAAAGAGGGGGCAGATGATGCAGCTGTAGATGAGATTCGTAAGCTGATGTGATGATTTGAATGTGACTAAAACGAAGGAGAACGCTGTTGATTTTCAGCTGTTTCGTAACACCACCAGGCAGTTATTTTGTGCTAACAAGACTAAGCCTCTATCTAAATGAATGATCAGAGAGCTCTAACTGTAATTTCAGTGGTCACTGAGGCATGAAAGCTGTTTGTATGGAATCACCAGCCAAATATGATTAAAAGCCTTTGCAAATTCTGATGACTTCGCCTCAAAACAAGGTTTAAAAAAGTGCAGGTTATACTTGTGCTACTACTAGATGTTTCACGCTTTGACTGTTAGGAAGCAAAATGTCGACTTTTTGAGAATACAACAGTTATTTATGGCGTTATGGAATTCTACCATCAGTTTCTATTTAGGATCTATTTAGGACATGCTAGTACACCACTGTAAATACAGGGAGACGAATGATGCAACTATGATGCAAACACTATACCAGAAACTAGATCTGGTTGTTCTTTCTCAGAGGGTTTAGAAGTGTCAGTGTTCAGCATTGCTAACAAAGAGAGACAGCGAAGACTAGTTAACTTGTGCCAGAAGATTACGAGGTGTAATCTGAATGATCTTGACCATCTTTTTAAAGTCACTAAGACGGCTGCGATGACCATACAAAACCCTCAGCAGGACACGGGATCGGTGTGGCTTGAAGGACCTCAGGTGGCACATTTATGTTGTTATTCTTTGTTGTTACATATTTAGATGTTGTATGAATATGTGTTGATCACTGTCAATGTCAAAGTTGCCCTCTGGGGATAATAAAGACTTACTCAACTCTCCAGATGCTGTGAAATAGAATCAGCAAGTCCTCGTGCTTAAACAATAAAAGAGGTCGTGTCATTGTCAAACAGACCACATAGACCCATCAACCACAACATCAGAACCACTGACAGGCAAAGTAAACAACATTGATCATCTCATTACAATGACACCTGTCAAGGGCTGGTATATATTAGACAATACGTGAGCAGTCACTTCCTGAAGTTGATGTGTTAGAAGCAAGAAAAATGGGCAAGTGTCAGGATTTGAGCAGCTTTGACAAGAACCAAATTGTGATGTCTAGACGACTGGGTCATCGTATCTGCAAAACAGCAGCGTAGTGTAGCTGCAGACTGGTCAGAGGGCCCACGCTCACCCCTGTCTACTGCTGAAAGGGCCTATAATGGGCGTATCGGTGTCAGAGCTGGACTGGTAGCGTGGTTTGACGAATCACTTTTTCTTTTGCATGATTTGAATGGCCTGGCACATGTGCATTGTTTGTCTGAGAAGGAGATTACAGCATGATGCGCTATGGGAACAAGTCAAGGTTGCAATATGATGTTTTGGACCATTTTCTTTTGGTAAACCTTGAGTCCTGACATTCATGCAGATGTCGCTTTAACACGTACCACTCATCTGCACTTTGTTGCAGGCCACGTGCTGCTAACACATTGGAGCGTGCCTGATACCGACGGACACCTCCAGAGGTCCAGTGGAGTCCACGCCTCGACGCTTCACAGCTGTTTTGGCGGCACGAGGTGGGCCTGCACAGTATTAGACAAGTTGGTTTTAATGCTGTGTCTGATTTGTTTAAAGGTGACTCTATTGAGCAAAGTGATCAAAGTCACACATGTCTCCTCCACAGTGTGTGTGAAAGTGTTCCAGCTCAAAACACTGCGGTTCATTTCAGTGTGACTCTACAACTCTGTTCTAAACAGGCTGTGCTGCTCTGAAAACCAACGAGCTGCTGCTGTTCCAGCCCACTTTAGGAAGGATACGCTGCCTGCAGGATCAGTCAATCACAGTTTGAACAGAGCAACTTTTGTTTACCTGCTTGCATCCTGGGGCGAATTCTTAGTGGCTTGTTTGCTAACTAGTTTTTGGGCTTGAGAAATTGGCAGAATAGAACGTCTTTATATTTTATCAACTTTTAATTTACACCTCCAAGTTTATAACAGACACAAAACACAATACAAAGTGGATTTTCACCATCCAGCGCCTTTAGGTTATAATTTTAGGGATGCTTCGCTTGGGGATAGTAATTTGTGGCTGATATGTTTTTTTTCCTATAAAGACATTCCATTCCCTCATTAAAAAATAAATCTTAAAATTGCATCTACTATTTTCCATCAATGAAAAATTCAGATTTAATAAACATGCAAATGTTTTTTTCATTTGAAGAGTGTAACGTCTGGACTCAATATATATCTCCGACGTCACTCAAAAACCCATTTTCAGTTGTGCTTCTCATTACACCAAGTTGGAGCGTACATCATCCTGCGCGGTGTAAGTTTGGCATCCGAGCGAAGTAACAATCAGCAAAAGTCATTTCTGAGTAAACGCAGTTTTAAAGTTTGGGAGAGATCATTGTCACGGTTTGACAAAGTGAAATCCGACTGGTGTTAGGATGTAAACTGTCGTCTTCTGTGTCAAAGTGACGACTTACAGGGAGGAAGAATTATACATTTCCTTAATCTGAGTGCATCAGTGTTTCCACAAGCTGTTCAATGACTTGCAGATTTATGTTTTTTTACATTTTTTATCATGTTAAGTCGTCACACACAACTTCTGATTTCTGTTCTGAGGTCATTATTTTTGAAGCGAGGCAGCTCCAGTACATGCATCAGTGTGACATTTTCAACTTTTGATTTAGTCTTTGTGTCACACTCTTAATGTTCACTGCCACTTAAATGTGTTGCCTCAGGGGCTGACAGATGTAACCGCACAACGCTGGTGCTCCATGTTGTTCTGATTCTTTAGACCTTTGACTTTCTGTATTATTTGGTGGTAACAGTGTCGCTATGAGGTCTATTTAGTAGCCATTGGGGAGATTATTTTCTTTAATTAGGCTCATAGAAATGTTTGTGTTGTTCTAAAACATTAGCTAAGTTTTCTTTCTGGGAGTTCAGAGTTTTAAAAAAAATATTGGTGTTTTACCTTTTGTAGCTCAGGAACATGCTCTGGGCAGAGGATGCCCCGCTACTGTTTGAAGACTTCATTTTCTCCTTTGCTTATTACTTTGACTGCAGCAGCTTTGCTGACGCACAGCACTGTAGTGTGTTATTGGCTAACAGCTTTATCCCGGTCTGGATCTCTGTCTTTGGGGCATCTCGCTCTTTGATGTCTTTGAACTCAATTGCGAAGGAAACAGAAGTGAGATTTGCTGGGTTCAGTTCAGGTCTACAGATGGGACCGGAGGAAAGTTGTTTAGTTTTGGAAGTTTGAGTTTCATTTTCTTTTGTCCCGCCAAGAGTGTTGTAGTTAGGTGTTTGGTGCTGAACTCTGAAAAGAGCTAACATTGCAATCAGTTGCTATAGTTTGTAATTAATTTGGCGGTTAATCAACGTAAATAAAATTCTGAATGCCGTTGCTACCATTCACTCCTGCACACTGCTGCCTTTGGTAGTGGTATTTGTATTGACCTTTACCACACTAATAATAATGTCTGTGTACTTCTCCCTGTCATGCCCTCCTTTGAATCCAGTCAGTATCCATCCATCCATCCATCCATCCATCCATCCGTCCATCCATCCATCCGTCCATCCATCCATCCGTCCATCCATCCATTTTCTTCCACTTATCCGGGGTCGGGTCACGGAGGCAGTAGGCGGAGCAGGTCATTCCAGACTTCCCTCCCCCCGGTGATGCTTTCCAGCTCTTCCTGGGGGATCCCGAGGCGTTCCCAGGCCAGCCGACAAACATAATCCCTGGGTCTGGGTCTGCCCCGGGGTCTCCTCCTAGGTGGATGTATTCGGAAAACCTCCAGAAGAAGCCTCTCCGGAGGCATCTGAATCAGATGTCCAAACCACCTCAACTGGCTCCTTTCGATCCAAAGGAGCAGCGGCTCTACTCCGAGCTCCCTCCGGATGTCCGAGCTCCTCACCTTCTCTCTGAGGCTGAGCCCAGCCACCCTGCAGAGGAAGCTCATTTCGGCCGCTTGTATCCACGATGTCGTTCTTTCGGTCATGACCCAGAGCTCGTGACCATAGGTGAGGGTGGGACGTAGATGGACTGGGACGTAACTAATACATACCATCAGTGATAACGTCTTCTTTAGGTGCTGTGACCAGTGGTGCGAGATCAGCACATAAGATAGTTCGTGGATTCGTTAAGCTCAGCTCAACTTGGATATGGATTGATTAGAAATGCAGATGACAGGTCAGGGTCAGAGACAGACGAGGGATGTGAGGCGCATGATGGTGTGAGTGGGTGGCGTTCAGGTGGTGGCAAATCTCATTGAATTTATTCATGCCCTTGAGACTGACAGGAAAGCTCATACAGAGATAGTGCAAGGCAGTAGTCCGTTTCAACTGTTGCTGATAAATATTTTATAGAGCTTTTTGCTATTATACGGCCGGGTTGTTCCAGTGTATCAGAAGAGAGCGATAGAGTGATAAGAAAAGGGGACGTAGGAGCTCTCATGTATCCTCATAACGTCTCTACAGAGGCTCATATACCTTCAGTACGATCATAAGTTTTAAACAGAGGTATGGATTGCAGAGAAAGAATTATTAATGGATTCTTGAATTAGTTTCTTTGTGTTTATCTCTTGTTTACCCAAAGCCAGCCTCATGTTTACCGTAGCATTTGTAGTCTCTTGCTCAGTAGGTATCTGTCTGCAACAGGATCAGATGCTTTTCTCTGCAACAAACACATCCGCGGGACATTTTTTTAAAATTTCAAACAAAGAAACCAGTTTTGGAAGACTTATCCATGGCAATTTGTTTTAAATACATTTAAAATTAATTTAAACCCGGTGTCCTGAGTTTCAAACACTCCCCCCTGCAGACTGCAAATGTTTGTATCCTGCTTCCTCGTGCAGAACAGAGGCTGTGGTCAGATCCAATATGACAATCGGTATGAAATCCGATATTTTCAGGTCCTCACTGTGAAGAAAAGAAAAGCTTCAAACTTAATGCAGGATAATCAATTTCTCCACACTTCATCCGCCTGCTCAAACAGCCAGCATTTCTCCCAAGATGTGGATTTATTCACTGTTTCTATCTTACTTTTAATAAATCACCCCTTGCAAAGTTTACACATTAGAGCTTCTGATTTTCCACTGGTCAGGAGAAGTGTTCTGTCCTTAGCTCACTTTTCAAATTGAATTAGCAGCAGTGGTCATGGGGTGGATTAGATAGCAGCTGAGCACTGATATCCAAGAGGGACAGTTTGGCCGACATTCAATGAATACTAAATTCTGGGAAAATGCTGCAAAAACGCACAGGTTAAATGCATCGTCTGGAGTTTTGTCCATCGGACTTAGACTTTGACTGACTTTATTAATCCCCAGAGGGAAATTCTGGTGTTACAGCAGCATGACTATTCAGCAAAGGGGGTAAACAAGGCAAAAGACAACACAGAATATTATGGTAGGGTATAAAATGAAAGTTAAATAAAATATAGAGATATATAGAAGAAAGTCACCAAAAGGTACAAGAATATATAAGAGATATAGATGCAGAAATGTGCAAATGAACAGAATGTGCGAATGATAATGTGCTATTATATGATACAATAATACACTGCTTCGATTGAAGCATTATAGAGTCTTATTGCTGTCAGGTGGAAAGACCTCCTGTGATGTATCAGTCTGTTGCTGAAGCTGCTCCTCAGATTGTCCACAGTTTCATGGAGGGGGGTGCGAGGTGTTGTCCATGATGACCTGCAGTTTGGTCCTCTGCTCCACCACCTCCGCCAGGATGACCAACTGGCAGCCAACAACAGACTGGGCTTTCCTGATGAGTTTGTTCAGTCTGTTGGCGTCCTTGATGCCTGCACCCCAGCACACCACAGCAAAGAAGATGGCCACCGCAGACTGATAAAACATCAGGAGCATGTAGTTGCGTACATTGAAGGACCTGAGCCACCTGAGGATGTGGAGTCTGCTCAGGCCTTTCTTTTTAAAGTTATTTTTTTGGCCTTTGTGCCTTTATTTGATAGTGAAGTGAGAGAGAGAGGCAGGAAAGTGGAGGAGGACATGTGGGAAAGGGCCATGAGCTGGATTTGAACTCATGACCTCCACATCGGGACTGTAGCCCTGCACATAGGACGCCAGCTCAACCAGGTGAGCTATAGCGGCGCCCCTGCTCAGGCCTTTCTTGTAGACTGCCTCTGTGTTGGTGGACCACTCCAGCTTGTTGTCCAGACTCACTCCCAGGTACTTGTAAATCTGGACAATCTCAACATCAGTCCCGGTGACGGATAGAGGGGAGTGTGGCGACTTGTTCCTTCTGAGGTCCACCACCATCTCCTTGGTCTTCATCACATTCAGCTGCAGGTGGTTCTCACTGCACCGTCGCACAAACCAGCTCACCAGGTTCCTGTATTCATCCTCCCTCCTGTTCTCCACACAGCCTACTATGGCTACTATGGAATTTCTGCAGGTGACACGACTCTGTGCTGCATTAGCGGTGCTAGGAACGATGTTTTGCTTTTATTCCACACTGAACATCAAGGATAGAATGTTTTTTTTTTTAAGATGTGGATACAGGACATGATAATGGAGTCCATTCATTTGAATGGAAATAGGTCTCCAGGCACAATGCAGCATCTACATAGTGAAACCACACTGCACATGTGCATTAATGTTCCTCCTGCTGACCTTGCCTACATAATGCCATTCAGACTTTCTTTTCAGATGATGCATAAATATTCAGTTCTATGCTCTGGAACAGTTACACAAATGTAAAACCTTCATAGATGAAAGATTGAACATACATAGATAATTGAAAATATACAATTGACCGTGTTAAAAGTTTTATATCTGCTGCAAAATGCATTTCAGACAGCACAGGGTTTTTATAACGGGCCGCTGGGACGAGCAGACGACAAGGCTGAGCACCCACATCGCTTCTTCATACATCCACAGCAATGTACGGACATAAACAATGCATGATATGGTGTATGTTTAAAAACAAGCTTCTCAGGTGTTTTATGTGAAACGCAGCATGCAGAAATAACTTCACGTCACCAGCAACAGTTGGAGAAAGCAGTGAGAGGAATCCTGGCAACTAATGGGAACATGAAATCTTAATAGAGACAGAACTTGCTGTGCGAAACCAATCTGCTGAGCGTGTTCACCGTTTACCTGAAGCTACCAGCGAAACTGCTTTTATTTGTGGGAAGTCACTGATGCTAACAGCTGTTTCTCCCTTCATGGATTTTAGTTACTGCCTTGAATTTTTAGCCACAAAGAATCTGTAGCGACCCAATGGATTATACTTGTGGTTTCGATGCAATCCGGTGACCTTGACTGTACGTATATAAGCAGGTTGCTGTGTTGTTTGTATCCATGTACTTTGTGTGGTGTCCTGCTAAGCTGTCCCTCTGAGGTGAGACCAAAGACAAGGTTCAAGCCTCTGTGCCGCGATAACCTTTCCTTTCATTCTCCTCTGCTGTCAGAACAGGAAGCCGGTCTTTGTTTGAGATCGTGAAAGGCTGAATCGAATGCACTCTGGGCCATGAAGGTTCTCCGGGTAATTATTTTCCTCTTTCTCCATTTGCAGCCTGAACATGTTCACTGGAGCGAGATCATGACTTTGCTCAACGAGTCAGACGAGGCCTCCTCTCCCACCTTCCCTCTCTCCTCCTTTGAGCATAATTTCTCTGCCTTTGTCACCAGTGACCCCTCATACTCCCCCGTGTCCTTCCCCACCTCCTCCTCCTCCTCCTCCTCCTCCTTGCTGACATCATCCAACTGCACCAACTCTCCCTCGACCTCCTCCCCTCCGTACAACTTCTACGCAGTGCTGCTGGTCCTCCTGATCTTCTGCGTGGTTTTCGGTAACGTGCTGGTGTGCGTGGCGGTGTCTCGGGAACGCGCTCTGCAGACCACCACCAACTACCTCATCGTCTCATTGGCCGTGTCCGACCTGCTGCTGGCGACGCTCGTCATGCCCTGGGTGGTCTACCTGGAGGTGTGTGTGCGCACTTCTGTCACTGTTTGCATTTATGCTGTTTTGTTTTGTGTGTTTTAGACTGACATGTTTAGAATTTTTTTTTAACCTCTTAAGACCAAAGCTCTTGTCTGATATGCATTTATTTTTTATTTCTATAATAAAAAATATAAAGAAAATAAAAATATAGAAAAAAAATATAGAGACAAAAAGACAGTGATAATAATAATGATAAAATTAGAATACTTTTTTTTAATTAAAAAAGTAACTACTGTGGTAATATAACTGAAAATGTGATGTGCACGCCAGGTATTAAGAGGTTAAATGTTTTTTTAAGTAAAAATAAAAAATAAAAATAGAAAACTCGCTTTTATATGCAGCAGTAACTAAAAATATATGAGTATGGATCCACTTTTGGATTAAAAGATATTAAACATGGTGGATAAATATTCCTAATAGCAGGAACAGGAACCTCACATTTCAGAACTTGCAATTACTAATTAGATAATCAATTAGGAAATCAACAAAAAATTTGGGGAACTGTTGGAATAATTGTTAACAGGATCATTGTAAAGTTATTTTTTGACATAAGTTATCAAGAGACTCTTCAGCAGATTAATAGATAACAAAAATAATAGTTGTAAATTAAACACAATTACTAAAAATACTGCAGAAGATGTCCAGTCACAGTCCCTTAAAGGTCAAGGCCGATGTTATCCAGTTGCTTATTCTGTCTGACCAATAATGAATAATGTTCAGCAAGCAACAAATTCTCACCTTTAAAAGATTGGAAAAAGGAAATGTTTGACATTTTTGCACAGGAAATAACCAAAGAGGTCGGTGGAGTCAGTTATCGAAGTGGCTATTGATTAGTTTTACAGCTTATTAACTCACTGATTAGTGCTGAAAACTAAAGCAGGTTCCGTTCAGGTCCAAGAGACTTAAATGAATGAAATACCTGCAGAAATCTGTTCAGTCTGGGAATAATAATAAAAAATAATCACTTGATAATGAGCACTATTAGAGTGACAAATTCAGGAATTCAATAGCCATTGTTTAAATAATAACCCATTATCTTTTTGCATTTAAAATTCTTTGTGAGCAGTTTTCAGAAGCAAATCGTGATGGCCTACACTGAAGGAAAGAAAAACCTGAGTTAAATATTAAACGACTGAGCAGCCAAAGTTTGTACCAGCCTGTTTAATATTAATGCATCTTCACCAGTGTAAGAAGATATTAGCAAAACGGACCAAAGGAGTGAAGAAATGAAAAATCCTTGCAAAGTAAAAAAAAAGTTAAAAATGAAACGGAGGGAGCATAACTTCAGTTTGTTGTGTTGAAGGTGGTGGGGGAGTGGCGCTTCAGTCTCATCCACTGCGACATCCTGCTCACCCTGGACGTCATGATGTGCACCGCCAGCATCCTCAACCTCTGCGCCATCAGCATCGACAGGTGGATCCGTCCTCAAGAGTTCGCTCTTTACTCTCCCTCATCGCATCTCTTCTTATTTATTGAACTTTTAACACCACGTCTTTGTTTTCATGCCGTTTTATCTTTCTGGGCAGAATTCCTTTTCAGCAAGAAAAGAAGTAATGTCACGATTAATCAAAGTCACTGTGACTGTGAATCAATACATTGTTTCTTTACTCGCTCCTCTTTACCTTGAACTTGATTTGCTCACACACGCACAAAAACACCAAAAAATGGGAGACCGAGCATTTACACGTTCTCTAAAAAACTTTTCTCATCCAGTTGTTAGCAGAATAGGAGCCCGATGTACAAGCACTCTGTGGTCGAGCAGGCAGCTTTCACATGTCCTCTGTGGTCATTAGAGTCAATTTTCTTTTTTGGGAACAAGGAGACCATGCTTGATGATTTGACGTCCCACCTGATGCCCTCTTCATGGGTCCAGAGGGAGGCGACCAGACGCCCAGCGGGCAGGACGTCTGCAGCTGTGTCCTAATTCGTCTGACACAGTGACAGATTGAGGCTACACCAGTTTAGACTTGTGTAATTTGGTGCAATAAGGATAAAGTCTTAATTGCTTCGCTGAAGCTGCAGTGAGACTGCTGTCAGGCTTTAATACACCAGCAATTTTGCAATGAGACAGCGACTACGAGGTTAAAGAGCTGGATTTAAGTGCTTCAAATTAGGGGGCTTACATCTACATCAGAGGACAGTACAACAAACGCTGCCACTTTAATTCTGAGTGATAGGAAATAATTGGTTAAAGAAGCATAAATCCAAATAAAGTTAGCAGATGTAGTGTAATTGCAGTGTTATCACTACTCCTGACGTTGGCCTATTTGTTTGGTTTATGTGCACATAACTATAAAACTGATCGCCCTCCGGTTAACCGCAACATTACCTCAACATACGAGAACACGCAGTCAGCAATTAGTTTCAAGCCGTTTTTCATCATTGCTTCATTGGGGGAAAGCATTTAGATGTCTGGTCAAAACAATGATCTATTAAAAAGAAAAAGATAGCAGAGTTTTTCATCCAAATTGGAGATTTAATTAATCGGTCCACACGTTGACAACAGCTTGGATCATGAGAAGGTCCCTTTAGGACGGCAGGAGTTTTTAGAGATTGCCTAACCCCTTTTCTCTCCGTGACAAGCCCAGGTATGAGATGTGGATTCTCAGCGGAGGAGTCACTGGTCTTCCTCGCTTTATTTTATTTTCCTGTTGATTGACTGCGAGCAATTACAAAACCGTTTTATTCTTCCACGGGGCTTTGCATAGCAATATAATCCTAGGTACTGATAGAGCAGCACAGCCTTGCACTTGTTGACTTGATAGGATTTCTGTGATTTGAATTATGTTCTAATATTTGTTCTTTACTCCCAAGACCATTTAAAATCACCACGGCTGCAGCTGAAAGAATAAAGTGGAAGCGAGCCAGAACAGCAGGCGACATCCAAGTAACACAGTTTTAGTCAGAGCTGCTTGTGCCTTAGTGATGATGCAGTGATATAGATGAGCCTACCAGCTTACACATTTGCATAGTGTGCATGTTTTTATCTTTTGCCTGCAGTTGCTTTGAGCCTTTTTAAATTCATCACATTGATTTAGCACTATGGTTTGTTCTTCCTGTGTCTCGAGACTCATCCACGGCTACGTGTGACCACCTGCAGTTGGTAAGCTTAGTAAAGCCACATAACAAAACTTTGTAGTGCAGCTCTGATTGTGTTATTTACCTGTGAAGTCTGTTACACTCCCTTTCAGAACAGAAACAGCC